AGCTTGAGGTGCAGCAAAAGAAGTATGGGATGGGATTGATTCCAACCACACTAACATAGACAAGATAAAGTGGGAGTTATGAATTGTATTAAAGGAGGAATGGTGGTGTTGGATTTCATCATGATGTTCCTCCCTCTTAGCCCTATAAATAGAGAAGTCTTCAAGCTACAAAATTCACTTCAGCCATCTTCCACACTTCCATCATTCCATCAACACATCCAGAAATCATCCTCATACACTCTAGCAATCAACCCAATACTCTAAACTGCCCCAAATCACCAAAACAACTCCAGAAAACCTCCCTTCCATTTCCCTACGAATTTCCTCATTCTTAGCCATCACCACTCACCCAAACTCATCCCAAATCACCTACTAGCTGTCATACATCATTCTAGACGTGGGGAACTGGCACTTGAAGAAGCCTTAGACATCACAAGAACTTCAGAAAAGGGGTTTTTCTACTCTTATTGCATTCCTTATGTTTTCTCATTTCTATCTAAGTTTCTTTTCCATTATGAGCAGCTAATTTCATAACTAGGGCTTCGATGTAACCTAACATGAATATTCTGGGTTTATAAGTTTGAAGTTTGGAGTTTCAAGTTTGGTTCATGATCCATGTTTTTATTCACTATGCTTATCAGTTAATATACTTGTTTGAATGATTGATCACCATTACAACTTGTATGTTAGCTATCTTGGTTTGAATCAAGAGTAGACACCATGCTTTGATTCAAATTGAACTATGAATAGGAAGAGTATGTATGGACATTCGACAACAGGGATTAGATACATGCTTGGTTGTTTAAATTATTCTTCTTTGCTTAATGGGTTCCTAATGCTTAATTTAGGCTAGACAACAAATGATCAAATTAGGGAATTAGGAACACAAGGTTAGAACTAGACATCATGGCCTAATCATACTTTAGCTAGAATCAATCTTTGAATATGAATTAGACTTGTTACTTGACTCCTTATAACCCAGAATTGAATTGTTATGGTGATTCGAATGCCCTAGTCTCCAAATCTGTTTTCCAACTCTTAAAACCACTCTTTGTTACATTTGTTTACTTGTTTTTGTTTGCAATTTCATTTTGCTTCTTTTTTAAATTCTGTTTTAGACATAACCTCCTACTTTCTTGAATTTGGTAATCTAAGTACATAACTAGTTTTAACTTCTCAGTCTTCGTGGGTACGACCTCGTACTTGTCTTGCTATACTACTAATTGCCCCGTACAATTGCGAGTTAACATAATATTAACAACAATTTGCAGCATCTATGAAGAAATTTGGGTACGTGCAGAGTAACTCAGACCATACTTTGTTTATAAAGCGTCATAAATATAAATTGACAGGTTTAATTATTTATGTTGATGATATGATTGTGACTGGAGATGATCAGGCAGAAATGCAAAATCTTCAGAAGTATCTGGCTTCCGAGTTTGAGATGAAGTCATTTGGTGATTTGAAGTACTTTCTTGGGATTGAAGTTGCTAGATCTAAACATGGTATCTTTCTGTCACAAAGAAAGTATATTTTGGATTTACTTGCAGAGACTAGAATGTTGGATTGTAAACCAATTAATACCCATAGTGTACAGAATTATAAGTTGGGGTTGTATCTTGATCAAGTCCCTACAGATAAAGAGCGTTATCAACGACTTGTGGGGAAATTGATTTATTTAGCTCATACACGTCCTGATATTGCATATGCAGTGAGTGTAGTGAGTCAGTTTATGCATTCTCCTAGAGAAGATCATATGGGTGCTGTGATGCGCATTTTGAGATATCTGAAAGTAACTCCTCGCAATGGGTTAATGTTTTGCAAATATGATCATACAGATGTGGAAGGGTATACAGATGCTGATTGGGCTGGTTCAACCAGTGATAGACGTTCTATGTCTGGGTATTTCATGTTTGTCGGTGGTAATCTTGTTACTTGGAGAAGTAAGAAACAAAAGGTGGTGTCTCGATATAGTGCTAAAGCCGAGTATCGTGGGATGGCTCAAGGCGTATGTGAGTTACTATGGTTGAGGAGATTGTTGAGAGATCTTGGTTTTGGGCCACATAAACCTATGGATTTATATTGTGACAATAAGGCTGCAATTGCAATTGCCCATAACCTGGTGCAACATGATCGTACAAAGCATGTGGAGGTTGATTGAAATTTCATTAAAGAGAAATTGGATGCGAAGATTGTTTCCTTCCCATTGGTCAGTTCTGAGTATCAGTTAGCCGATGTCCTTACAAAATCTGTTTCTTCCAATATCTTCCTCAACTCACTTGACAAGTTGGGCATGTGTGACATCTTTGCTCCAACTTGAGGGGGAGTGTTAGCGAGATCCTAGTGTAATTAGGAGATTTACTTCCTAGCATATTAGGATTATATTTATTTTCCTTTTATATAGATCTTATGTAATTAGGACTTTATCTTATTTCCTAGTATAACCCTGCTAGGGTTTGTAACCTTGTATTATAAATACATCCTTTCGAAGAATGAAATACAACCTGAAAATATTCTACCCATATTGTTTGACTGAACAGTAAAGAAAAAAATTCGAAAATAAACTCGGATCTGACAAAAAATACATACCTCCTAATCAATGCAAGCTCCAATTCAAAAACCACAAGAAATCCAAAACTTTCAACGAATTTCAAACGACCGCACACTAAAAGAACCTGAAATCACACAAAAAATTGAAAAGAAAAATCGCATTGATTTGTTGTATGAAATTGGAAGAAGAAATGGAAAAGAGAGGAACATAGATCATGAAACGCAAATCAAAAGCTAAATGAATGAAGAGCATGTTTACTTGGATTTGTTTTTAGCTGTATTTCAACCTTTTCTCCAATGGCTTTTGACGATTGGATTTTTCAAGTCTACTTTCCATGCTTTGACTACTTCATCTGGCATAGAAGAAAAGAACAGATGTGGCTTTTGATGGATGTTCTTAGGTTCAGTAGATGCTTAGGCTTTAAAAGGATAAACCGATCCTTTCACCTAAAAAATTAAACTGGCCCAACAAGGCTGACCCTGCTCTTGGGCCTTTAAGAGAATCCCGAATCGATGTGTCAAAAGTGCCATATAGACATTTAACGGCTAGAAATAATATCTCACATCACTCCAACTGAATTATCAAAGCTGATCTGGTATGAAGGCTGAATTTTCAACCGTTACTTTTGACATCCCAAAAGCAAGACGTTAAATGAATATTTTATATATTTTTTTTTTATTTATAGAAAATTAGTAAAATACCCATTCCTAACCATAGTTCTATAAAGAAACCCTACACCACTCAATGTATATAAACACACCCAAAAAAAACCCAAAAAATGACAGCTGTTACAATATTTTAGTTTAATTAGTTAAATGAAATACCTTTATTATCCTTTTAGTATTAAAATAGTTTTTTTGAAAATTTTTGGGCACTCTCTCTTTCGTCTCTCTCCCTTCGCAGAAACCAGTTTTGGCCAGCGATCTTCGTGCTCCAGCCACGGCTAGACGCGTGACTGGTCGGAAAATGACTAGAGGAGGCCGACGAACCACGCTTGAGCCCAACCTCGGAGAGCCCAGCCTCCTTTCGTTGTCGCGAGCTCCATGAACCTTCGAGGGTTTCGAGTTTTCGGACACCTTTTGGGCGGTTCCGGGGGCGGTTCCGGCGACCGTTGTCGCCAATCCAGGTATGGATTCTAATCCTTTCCTCATGCTCTCGCTGATAGTATAGTTATTTGGAATCAATTTTAGCTTTCGAGAGTGTGAAAATGCTGTCATTTCACTCCCTGCCTTGCATTCAGTTCTTTGGTTGCTGAGCTCTGAATTATGAAATGGTGTGAGAGCTTGTTGAGCTGAAACAGTTGATTGTTTGAGCTTTAGCTTCATCAAAATGTACAGAGCGAAATGGCTATCGGCGGTTTGATCTCGAACCAGAATTAAGATTCTTTTATCGGCTCAGGTACTGTTGCGTTACTACCTTATCCTGATGTTTTTGTTCTTATTAGTTTTTGGTATTTTGATTTTGGTTGCGTTTTGTGAATTGTAGCTTCTCAGTGGAATTAATGCATGCATGTGGTTTGAATTTCATAATTTTATTTTCAAATTTCCATTTTCGTGAGCTAAATGAATTTGTTTATTTGGTTGCATGTTGCTTCTCCTGCTTTGCATTGTCATTTGGTTATGTTGGTAAATTTTTGGTTGCAAATTGTTGATTTTGCTGCTGAATTTTTAAGAGAATGTGGTAATTTAAGTCAAGTCTACCTTTAATTCAACAATTCACCAATCAGTATGTATGTATGAATATATATACTGAGCAATTTTGGGTTGGACATAACCAAGTCTTCCTTTAGTCCATATATATATATATTCATGTATGTATGAATATATGTACCGAGCAATTTTGGGAATGCTTTTATCTCTCTGAGTTCATTAAGGACTTGCTTAATTTAGCCGAAGAAATTTAGACAATTTATTTGTCGACTTGGAAATAGATGGAAGGATTGACAATTTGGGAATGCTGATCAACATAACTTATTATTTTCATTTTGATGCTTTTGAGGCAATTCCCTTGTTACTATATGTAACTATTTGATATTGGCAGGGAAAGTATGTCAAACAAACCACACTATTGTGATTCTCTTGTTCTATCTTCATGCATGGATTGCTGAAAGGTCGTTCTGAATTTTCATCATCGGTAACTGTTTCACTTGCAATGTCATTGGCTTTGGGAGTTTCCTTAAGGAATTCGTTTTGGTACTCAGGTTCTTTTGGACTCTCCTAGATGATGTCTTCTGACCCAATTTCAAGATATACTTCGAATATATCAGGATTTCCTACTTCTAGCAAGTGTGTCTCATCTGTTTGTGTGATAAGTGGAGTGTCTGGTTTACTAGGGGCTTCAATCGCCTTCTTCCCTTCTTCAAGTCCAGCTTTTTCTTCATGATCATCTGTCATAGATGTCTTTTGTAGCATGTCCTCAACACACTCTTTAGCTTCCAAGGTTGCTTCATCATTCTGAATGTCAGGCCTTGCAACTATTGTTGAGATGGAGTAATTTTTGGGTGTTCCGGGTACACCACGTGGCTGGTGTACCATCCAATAGACAGAGGACATATGGAATATTTCTAATGCAGCCCGCCACATGTCATAAAAAGAAATGCAGTAAGTTGGACAATAATTCCACATGTCCTATGTTTATTGGATGGTACACCAACCACGTAATGTACCCGGAACATATAAAAATTTCTCGTTGAGATGGGGTCAATTCTCTGTATTTTTATCATTGTTAAGTATTGATTTTGAGTGATATGGAGTTCTACACTTTTATCGTACCTATTATGCAAATTAAATGATGTAGTTGTTAATTTCCAGTAAGTGGTATGAACAGTTGTTATACTATGTTCATACCTTGCAATTGAGTTGATTTCTATAACATAGTATTAACAGTGTACTTTTATGACATAGTATTAATAGATTTTCAGTAACAAAGCATGCTCTATACGTTGCTCTCTCTCTATATATAGCTGTGCACTTAAAGTTTATGATATGCATAATGTGATTTTTAATAGGAAGATAGTTCTATGACATAGTATTAACAGTGCACTTTTTTTTTCTTGTAGAAGTATTTTCTTTTGCCTTTGCGATTGTTTCTGGTGAAACTATGAACAATTGGAGGTGGTTTCTACAAAGGATATCGGATGTCTTGTTGGGCTTTTTTTGGATTTTTTTTTGGAATTATTTGTATGAAATTGTATTAACAATGTACTTATATGACATGGTATTAACAATGTGCTTCTATGACATGGTATTAACAATGTACTTCGGGCTTGCTGGGCTTATTTTAGGTTTTTTTTTGTTGAGTTTTTTGTGTTTGGCTTGTTTTAAGTTTATCAATGGCAGTCTTGTAATTTATAGGAACTTCAACACTCATTTTTTATGTAGTAAATGGATTTTGGGTGAGTTTCTAAAGTGCATTTCATGTGGGTTTTTTTTATAAGTTCAACTCATGTTTTGAGTATATTAGTGAAGCTCCCTTTTTTTTATACCAAACCTGGCATGATGGCATCAAAGGACTGAATAATACACCTGGTATATGAACAGTGGCGGATCCACGTAGGGGCAAGGGGGGTCAATTGACCCCCGCAAGCTCGGAATCCTCCATTGGAACCCAGGAACTTGACCCCTGCAAATGCCCAGAAGGTGTTTGATGAAATGTCCCAAAGAAGGGCAGCCATGGCCAAGAGCAAGCAAGCTCACTTGCTGCCCAACGCGCACGCGAGGAGCCCAGCACTTTAGAATTTTTTTTTTGTTTCCTGACGTCAAAACGACGTCGTTCCACTTAAGTGGATTTTTTTATAAAACGACCTGGCCAAAACGACGTCGTTTTGGCTCAGGTAAAAAAAACAAAAAAAAAAGGCACAGACAGAAATGCAGCTCGATAAAAAAGATTGGGGAATGAGTTTTTCACTCATTCCTCTCATTCAAACCCTAAATCTCCAACCCCAACCCCTAATTCTACTCATCCTTCACTCAATCCGATAGCCTCCCCACGTGAATAACCCTCCGGCGTCGGCGACCTCCTCATCTAGTGGCGGCAGCAAACCCCAAATTCAATTTGGTTTGAAATTTCCTCTCAAAATTGAAAATATGTTATCCTCCTATTTCCTAATCTTTTTGTGCTTTGATGAGATTGATTAATATGTTGATTAGTTTGAATGAATTAGAGTTTTTAATTAATTATACGTTATTTTGTATGATTTAATTAGTTTGTATGTTTTAATATGATGGATTTTATCCCTCAAATTGAAATTATGTTACCTATTTCCTAATTTTTTATGCTTTAATAGGATTGATTAATATGTTGATTATTTTGGTTAGTTAGAATAAATCTTTGCAATTTGGATGATTAATTAGTTTGTATGTTTTTTGAATAGGAAGTTATGGAAAGATTCTATAAGAGAAAGTTCTCATCAACTACTTCTAGTTCGGATAATGTGGATAGTTCAGACTCAAGAGATGTGGGTAGTTCGAAAGAAAGTGAGTTACAAGATCTTATGAATAATCTTCCTGCAGACCCTGGACTTCGACCTCAAATGTTGGATTATGATCATAACATTCGAAACGAAGTTCGAACAGCATATCTACAAAAGGGTCCTTGTCAACCTAAGAATATGAAAACTCGTCGTGGACAATTGTACTGTGGTTTTTTTCTATTAATTAAGAATTATAATATTATCGTTTCAATTTTTTTTTTGGTTCTATTTTGTATAAGTTTTTTTTACCTTTTAGACGTTGACCCCTGCAAACAAAATTCCTGGATCCGCCACTGTATATGAAATCAACTAAATCTTGTCCCAACCGATTGCGATTGGCTACATGAATCCTTTCGCTAAAACAGATGGGATGGAGCTAATAAGAGGCCAACAAGAGAACGCGATTTATTGGAAGAGAAGAATATAAAAAATCTGCTCAAAATTCCTTCCTTCCTTCCTTACTAACTAATCAGGAACCACAAGATTTAAAAGGCACCGTTACATCTTTTGTTAATTTTTTTAAAAACATGCAATGGTTCTCTAAACATTCACATGATCTAAATGTTTTCTTAGTTGTAAACAGGACGATCTGGAATATCTGGGGAAGGTAGTGGCTGGTTCCATTGTGGCTGCAGCTGTTATAAAGTATGGAAGCATAGGTTTTCCTGAGATAACCAGACCCAACTCCTGTCATTGTAGCCATTTTATTTTTGATCAAGCAGAGCCATGCATGCAGAGGGGCGAAGCTAGGATAGGAAAACCCTCGTGACAAGTTTCACTCACTTTCTTAGCCCTGTATTTCACCAATTTTGTGGAGCTGCTACAAGAATTCCAATGATTTCTTCCACATCCATTTGAAAGCACTTCCTGTAACATCAATTTGGTCTACTTGAAAGAAAATTCAACTGCCATGAAAATCTTCAGTTGCTGAGATAAGAAAATCCCATATTACATGAAAATCAGATATAAAAGCCAGTGCATTAGTGTAGCCAGTTGACCATGAGCAATGTGTTAGCCCTTTTGTGCTCGAGTTGGATTCCTCTCGTCATAGATTAGAGTAGTTTAGACTATCAAGTGTTGATGATTGAATTATTGGCTATATTGTACATATTATCTGATATTTCAGATCAGAGAGATATATAACATCTCAATGGAGATCATAATATAATATAACATCTCAATACAGTTGAAGATTGAATTATTGGGTATAATGTACATATTATCTTATATTTCAAATCAGAGTGATATATAACAACATCTCAACAGAGATCGTAATATAATATAACATCTCAACAGAGTTCGTGATTGAATTATTGGCTATACATACACATCGGATATTATAATTATTTCCCCTAGTGTACAATGTACGCACTTCCGACAAGATTATCTTCAAAGTGTGAATTCAAATGAGACTTCTCTCTTTGCATGCCAGAAAATACCTTCAGCTACTGACATAAGAAAATCAAAACCTTCTTCAGCTTCGGTAATTGTAGATAGAATAGATATAATTTATGCACAACATTCATCGTATAAGCAGTAGAGTACGTACCTGGAATTTGGAAATGGGGGTCGTCGGCACAGATCTAGGCTTGGCCAGGTAGGGCCAATCCTAGCCCGACACAATTTTTGAGAAATTTTTTTATACCTACATAACCCAATGAATTTCAAACTATTAAAAAATTATATATATATCATCTTAAAAAATATTTGCAAAATATAAAAAAATAAAAACATTCTCCAACAACTTTATATTTATCTTTACATTACCCCCACCACATGTGAGTTTTTTTGTAGAGTGCTACTATTTCCACCCAACTATCATATTTTCTCACCCACCTTATTTTCAAATTTTCAAAGACAAATTTATCCCTTTGTAAAATGACTTCTAAGGACTTAAGGAAAAAAGGATATTTTAGAAATAATTAAAGGGTAGGGTATTTTAATTTTTTATTATCTCTTAATCACTAAACAATTACCCATAAATTTTTTTTCTATGTCCGACCCCCCGTCTTCCTCCTCCTCCTCTCACCCTTCTCTTCTCCTTGGAAATTCCATTATATCTGCAATTCTCACTGGCGCCGCAAATCACATCAATACATTCATCATTCTCTCTCTACATCAATTCAAGTACTGTTGGATAATTCAAAAGGCTAATCCTATAGAAACCTTCCTCTTGAGACCATCTAAAAAATCCAACTAAACTCTTCCTGCAAATCTGAAAAAATCTTTTCTTTCTTCGCCACAACAAATATCTCAATAACTTTCCTAGTTGAAGTCTTAAAACAAATCGATTCATTGATAGGTTTTATAATTATTAGTTATTGTATCCCAAACACACAAAACAATGTAATTATCTAAACCAATTATCTTCATATATAGATCTAGAAAGTATAGAAGATGAGAGAGGCATGAATCATGATGCAGCGGTAGTGACAAATCCGATACAACTGCCATGGTGAAGATAGGGAACCGTCATGGGAGAATGAGTGAGCGAGATGGGTTTAGCGGCGCCGGTGAGAAATCTAGCAATAATGGAAATTTTGTGGGATGAGGGTGGGCGAGGAGGAAGAAGAAAGAGGGAGATGGAAAGATTTTTTTTGGTAATTATTGCTTTAATTATGATATAATAATTAAAAAAATTTAAAAAAAAACTTATCTGTATTAGATGAGTTGGCATGCCACATAAGGTGATTTATAAAGGGTATTTTAGGAATAATGGTGGGTGGAAAGATAGAATTGTATTTTTTTTTTCAAATTTACATGGTGTGTTGGAAGATAAGGTGAGTAGAGAAATAGTACAGGCGGTGGAAATAACAGCAGTCTTTTTTTATCATCAATTTGGTATTTGAATAAATAGACATGGAATTTCTCAAAGAAAATACAAACATAAAGAAAAGAGGAAAATTTGTGATGATAAATGAATAATATAGATAGACATTAACAAAATGAAATGTTAATAAACATTACCAGAAGAAGAGGTGGAAGCGGCACTTGGCATCTTATCATCATCAGTTTGGTAAACTCTGTCTTTTTGTACAAATTCTTTATCAACTTTGATGTTTGTGATGTGAGAAATCTTGGGCCACTCTCCTCTGCCTTTTCGGCAACCTTGTGCAAGAATTTGACAGCTGAAACCGATGACAAGCTCCTTGAGCGGTGTATTTTGTAAGAAGTTGGGCAGTGTTTTAAGCAAACCGCAATAACCAATTCGTAAGGAAGAAAGGCAGGGCATTATTGTAATTGTCTTATGAGAATCCTCTTCTTCACTCCACCCTGTCATTCCTTCCCACTCTTTCCACTTGGGCAAAACCAAGAATTCAAGTCTTTTCAAACTTGGGAATAAAATAAGTGATGACGACGACGACGTTTGCATTTCTATTGTTCCATCTATTCCCAAAAACTCAACTCCTACCTTTTTCAAGCTATCCCAATTGACTATCACCAGTACTTCAAGGGACTCCAATCTCCCCAAAGGAGGCACAAACTCAACAAAGTCGCAATATCTGAGGTAAAGGCTTCTCAATTTGTTTAACGACGTCATCCAATGTGGCCGGAGTGTGGTGCCATTGTAGAATGAGATAGATAAGGATTCCAGCTTTGGATGTGGTTGTAAGGCATTCACTATTTCTTCCTCGTTGTGTTGCGCTGTTCCAACTGAGGGGAACTCGAATTCCAGACTGACAAGGAAATTTTTGTTCACCAAATGCGCTTTCTCGGCCTGCCTCGCGTCCTTGAGATCCTCCAGAAATTCTATTCGGAAACTCCCACGAAGCTGGTCCATGTTTCTCAAATCACTTAACTCGAATAATGCTTCTTTGTTGTTATCAACGTCATCATCGCCATGGATGCGAACTTCATCTAGCCTTCGTAGACTTGTTAACCTTGCAATCTCCTTAGGCAACTTTAGATCAGCACAACCCATAACATGAAGATGCTGCAAGTTAATCAGCTTTCCCATGGCTTCAGGTAATCTTTTCAAGTGCCACGCAATTAATGAGTCTCAAGGTTTGCAAATTGATTAAATTACACATGGTGTCAGGCAATTTCATCAAATCGTAATTCCAGGACAAATCAAGATACCTCAAATGTGCCAATTCTCCAACCTCATTTGGAACTTCTTTCAAGGAGTTATAACTCAAATTCAACATTCTAAGGCATTTTACTTGTGAAATTAACTCTCGACCAAAACTAGTAATCGTTGAATCAAAACTTGCAAGAGAGTCCGTAAATTCTTGCAGTTGCACAAGGAACTCGGAATTAGTGGACCTTCGGGTGCAAACATTAATGTCAAATGACGAACCTTCTTATATCCATCAAACTCCATTATTCTCTTATTATTACCACCCTCAACCTCCAAAACTAAGCATTCATTCTTAGTTAGAAATTGTAGAAAGTCATGCACAACATCATGCATCTTGCACCGGGTTATATTTCCAAGTTCATCTTCCTCAAATTCTTGATATCAAAGTACATTTCGCCTACTGCTTCTTTTTCTTTGTTTTCAATTGAATTAAGATAATTTTGTGACATCCACAACTCAATCAACTCATCTTTAGCAAATTCATAATCTTTTGGGAAAATGACACAATACAAAAGACAACGTTTGATTGCCGGGGCCAAATCATAATAACTTAGTAACAGTGGTTGGAAAACTTGTTCCTCAACCACATCTAACTTCCATATCTTACTATTCAAAACGTCTTCCCATTCTTTCTTCGTTTTCTTGTAGCACATGAGACCACCCATTGTCTTTGCAAGAAGGGGCAGGCCCTTACACTTTTTGACAATTTCTTTACCAATAAATTCTAACACTTTAGACTCTCTTTTTTCTCTATCAGCCAGTGCAATGTGATAGAACAATGCCCAACAATTTTCTTCACTCAACACCTCCAAATTGACAATATCAGTGGATGCTCCCACCACCATCCTCGCAACTTCCTCTTTTCGTGTGGTCACCAATATTCTACTACCCACAACCCCGTTTTGTAAAGGTAGCTTTAATTGTTCCCACTTTCTATAGTCTTGGTTCCACACATCATCTAGGACAAGAAGGAACTTCTTGCCCTTAACGGACTCATGTATAATGGACTTCAGAGTTTGCAACTCATTTGAAGCTGGGGTCTCTTTTGTCAGACCCTCAATGATGGCTTTGGCAATTTTGATCTTATCAAAAGGATCTGAGACACAAACCCATAGTCTAGTGTTGAAATGAGCTTGAACCTTTTCATCATTATAGGCAAGTTGGGCAAGAGTTGTCTAGCCAATCCCTCCCATCCCTATAATAGGGATGACAAGGCAGGTCGCCCCTCCTTGACCACTGCCACTCACCAACTTTTCTACCACTTTGTCCTTTTCGTCGACTCGAGACCAAATGTCTTATCAACGAAAGAAGAACTTTTTTGTCGTTCAATTTGTTCAATTCCTCTTTTCGTGGATTGAAAGTCATACTTTTGTCTTTCACTAGCAATCAGAGCTAATCTTTCATTTAGTTCTTTTATCTTCACAGCAATGTCATGAAGAAGAACTACTTGATGGCCAAAACAAAACCAAGGGGCAGGAATGCAGAAACATACCTTCTTTGTAGTACTAGTACTACCAGCATTACCAGCTTCTTGTTTCTGAATATGTTGCTTCAGGATTTCAGTACTCCACTTGTCCAACACGTCGTCCATCTCGTAGGATACATCCTTCAACCTCTCCAGCCATTGTCTCACATCCACCTCATTCACCTGCCTCTCCTCTGCATTCTCGAGCACAACTTCAATATCTTTGAAATTGCTAGTGAGCTTTGCCACTTCTTTCTTAACACCCACAACTAGTTTGACCTCTTGTTGGATGATTGAGGCCAACTGTTCAATGAGCATGGAAATGAGTCACTACTACAAAAAACGAAATAGACGACGGGAATTCACCGTCGTTGTAATACTTTGAAAACCGTCGTTAAATCGACAGTCGTCTTTTGGAGTATCAAACTACGACGGCTTTTCACCGTTGTTGTTTATGTGTAAAGACGACGGTTTTTACTAAAATCATCGTTGTTCTTACTAAAGACGACCCTTTTTTGTTCAAAACCGTCGTTATTTATGGGTAAAGACGACGGTTTTTAAAAACCGTCGTTATTTATGGTTAAAGACGACGGTTTTTGTTTAAAACCGTCGTAATTTATGGGTAAAAACGACGGTATTGTGTTGAAAATGGTCATTAATTATATGCACAGACGACAGTTTTTCCAATAAAACCATTGTTTTATTATCTTTAAATATGTCGTCTAATAAGTTACCAATCTTTATTCTATTACACACATACTTCCTACCAATAAATTAAAATAAAGGAGCTCACAAATTCTACTAATTTGATCTGAACTTTATCAATTTGTTCTTGGGTTGACATAGCTCTGCCTTCTTGCACATTTTCCAAGTTGTTGTATTCCCCTCCCCTGTAACAATATCAGCAACAGCAAGCCCTTCTACAAGACTTGCAAAATTAACATCAAACTCCACAAACACAAATCTTACTTCAGCAGTCATGTTGTTTTTGTCCATGCACAGTGCGTCTTGTGTGAGCTGCTCTGAGAAAAGATAACCATAAACAAAGTATTCCTGAAAATAACAATAGGGATAAAAAGCAGAGCCAAAGTAAGAGAATGGGTTTAACTGAACTACTCCAATTATCTATAATCAATACCTAAATCCAAACCTATAACCCATACCAACAGCAGAAAATCTGAACTAAAAAACAAAGATTCCTTTAATTCTTTTAAAGAAACATACATATATATGGTAACAGCCATTCTCTGTGGCCATTTCAGCCACTTCTTCTTTCTCCAATCTGCCAAACTAAAGTGTATTAGAATTGCTTTGAGTATTTTAAGTAACCCTTTTCTTGATGATCTGATAATTGCTTTTAGTTCGAGCTTTACCAGTGAGATGGTCCACCAAAGAGCCATTTGAGATGTTCTCAAGAACAATAAATACGGTGCTAGTTGTAGTTAGATGGTCCTGATAAGTGACAATGCAGTGTCCAAGAAGGCTGACCAAATGCCTACTCCTCAGCTTTGACAAGGCTTCCATGCTCTGGTTCAAGTTTTGGGGCAACTGCTTCTACTTTAATTTCACACATTTCACTTGTACTGGTAAACCATTTCTGAGCCAGCCTTTGTAGACCTGTAATGTAAATATTGCACATAAATAATGCTATCAAGTTGATGAACAATAATGTTGGCTCAATCAAATAATGCATTCAAAGCCAATAAACATCACAAATTCAATGTTAATACCAGTCCCTGAGATCCTTCTCCCATCAAATTCGGGCATCGAAATTGTTTGTTGCATCATCAATTTCTTCCAATGTAAATACACGATATGGTGGGAGCCCAAGTGTTGGCAACCTCATCATATGGGGCACACGCCCTGAAAAATCCAAATCAATATAATCAGCTTCAATGCTTCACGAACTAAAAACAATAAAGCATGCATCTTTGTTTTCTGTTTTTTTTTTCAGTCATTAAAATTAGGGACTTTCAAAGGAATTAAGGAAACAAAGAGGGCCTTACTTGCATCGATGTTCGGCTTTGGGGAGCTTCAAACGGAAATTTTCTCAACCATGGATCTATTAAATTTATCTTCTCTGTTCCTCTGCCCTGCCCTGCTCTTTTGATAATTACCAAAATCAACAACCCAATGAGTGCAGCCACACACACAACACGGAGAGAGAGAGAGAGAGTTTGGCTACCCATAAGAATCCCGGAGAGTTCCTAAATAGTCTTTTAAAATCCACTGGACTTATTTATCCATAAATAGTCTTTTAAAATCTCAATTGAATACACCCCACTAAGATAACTCCTAGAAAAGTAGCTTCGTACCTTTCTGGTCCACGAGGAAGAAGATCTAATCTAAAGCTTATGAAATGGAAGATGGGAATCCAGATGGGGGCTTAAAAATGGTCGCGATGAGGAAGGGTAGCTTCCATGGGCAGCGCGAGGGAGATGACGAACGCGGCAAGATCGGTGACCTGAACGGCTCGACGGAGATGGCGATCAAGGCAAGTTCGGTGGACGGCGCGAGGGAGATGTGCTTCATAGATGTGAGAAAGGGTTTTCTTCTGAAAGGTCGTGATGTAGTACAGTGTTTGAGAGAGCGTGGGTTTTCTGAAAAGCTCCGCGCTCGCGAACTTAAAAGTTAAATTTTGTTTAGCGCCTCCTAAAAACACGACGGTTGTAATAAGGTATCGTCGCAACTTTATAAATTAACCCAAAGCATCAGCGTATTAGGCACCTTATCACGACGGTATTATAACACTCGTCGTCTTTTAAAATACCACGACAGTTTTTATATAAACGGTCGTCTATTGGGTGTCGTTGTTTAACATAATTGTAGTAGTGAGTGCTTCAGCCATTTGTTTGCTCTAGAAATGGATTTCTAGTAGAAGAAAAAAGAAAGGGAAAAGGAAGAAATCTTTTAATGCAAATGATAACAAGGTAGTGTTGGGAATTGTTGTAGGCATTCTCATTTCTCCCCAGCTAGTATGTTGAGGCTGATGAAGAATGCTTGTAAGTCATTTCAGGCACCACCACGACAACAAACCCACACTTGCCAATCAACACGAATAGAATTTCTCTCTTCCCTAACTTTTTTGTTTCTTCTCTTTTAATTCCTTACTTTTTCTTTCCCTTACCTCGTTCCCTTATTCTTTTCTTGTTTGCTTGATCAAAGCATCCTCCAAACAGCCTCTTATTCAAAAAATTTAAAAATTTGATGGCTTCTTATCTCCTAAGTGAAGCTGAAATCAACAAGTTGTTTTTCCTTTTTTTCCCGATAAGCTAAAAACAAGTAAGGTCTAGGTTTCGATCAAAAAAAAAAAGTAAGGTCTAGGCTAGTTTTATAAGAGCAAGACTGGAGAATGCTGCTTGTAAGCAAACATCATAATATTCATCAGTGGTAATTGGTAAATTGGATTTGATACTGCTATTAACCATTTGGGTGAATTTGACTTTGCGTACTTTAAAATTCACCCATATGGTTAAGAACTTCTTTGACACGTGTACAGCTCAACTTCCATTAATTATAAATGTGCTCTCCCCAACATTTTCCTGTTCGGTATACCATTTCATGATAGAGGGGCAAAAAGGAGAATTCAAGTTGTAAGAGCAAACCCATTGGGGCTCCAAGAGCACTTCCATCCATCCCTTTTTGTCATGGCAAAAGAGGGCCTAGGCTCCAAAAACAACCCCCACCAAAAATTGTCATGGCAAGAAGTGGGCCCCATGAAACTGTGCAAACCCAAAGGCAAGACTTGCCTGGGTTGCTACTTGGGCAAGCTGATGTCAGTGTGACGTTAGCGGTCAATTTACATACCAAAATAATTGGAAAATAAAAACCCAAAAATTCAGACTTTTTTTTTTTTTTTTCTATAAATACATAGCCATGTTCTTCAGTTCTCACACCAAAATCCATACAAATTCCTCTCTTCATATCTCATGTGAATAGTGGTTGCCTTGAGTTGCCATAACAATGGGTGGCATTAGAAAAATTAGTGATTAAGTTATGATAACAAATTATAAGAACTCAATGGTAACGCATTGGTTATGCATGTACGTTTACAAAAAGCCTCACCAACTAATTGTAATACTCAGACAACAAATAACCATCACAAGAAATTCAATAAACCGCTTTGAAAAGGAGACATACATTGACTAAAAAATGAAATATTCATTGCATCTGAGTACATTAATTAATGAAGAGAAGATAAAAGTAACTATTACACAGAAATATGCATCTGAAAAATAGAATAATCTACAGATGAAAACAGACTATATATATAATCTCGAGAGCTATAAGAAAGTTTCACTAAAGTTTATAAGAAAATGAGTTTGCGACTATCTATTCGGCTCTTGAAATGTCTAAACCACAATGGATAGTGAATAGAGCTAAGGTAGTGTTTGGTTGCTCTCACCCAAAAGTTGATACAAAATTAATGGGGGTGCATGGCCAATAAATCTGGTGAGAGATCACAGGCTTCTGTGGTCCTTATTGCCCAGGTATCAACTGAGCACCTACATCACCAACCCCACTATCTGCCTGCCACACGTCCATTAGATATTGCAAATTAAGCTCAGCGTTACCAACCACCCCCTTTCTTTTAAGCAAAAAGTTGAACAAAAATTAAACCAAAAACAATGAGGAAGTGTTTTTTTTATGAACAAGCAGAATTTCATTAATAAAAGAGTAAATACAGGAGATGTACAAGAAGAACACACCTTAAAAGAAGGTTCTTGCCTACAATAAATCGGAAAAAATAAATTCAGTAAGATAGTGAGTAATAAATATTACGAAATCAAGCCCAACTCACTCAGAGTTGACAGATAAAAGATCAAGATGATTCTATTATGCACCAGTGCTACGAATTGGAAGTGTTGTCAGTTCAACAAAAATTATTGTCCAATACACTAGAGCCGTTGGTTTGGTCAACTAAGTTGGGCACCTTAGGCTACTTGTAAAATCATCCCCCCACGCCTCTGATTCAGCGGTCGAAAGAGCTCCAATGGGTTGCTTGTTGGCAGTCCTTTAAACTTGAAATTTTTCCTTTCTTTATTGATTGATTCACTTTCAAACTTGAGTTCGAACAAGTAATGTGGATGTGGTCCGTTCCGAGTTTTGGATTCACACGGTTCATATTTTAACCTCAAGCCTATGAATGGGACTGATCGAGAGTACAATTATTAGTTCTTGTCAAACTCAAAACAAGTACTTCTGGTCATCGTTGGGTTTAAATTCTTGACTGGAGGGGACACCAAGGCTTCCCCTTCTTCCTAAGGAACGCGTGGATTTGTTTATGTTTCATGTCATTAAAGATTTTAACACTAACTTGATCATATTGTCGAGAAGTTGAATAACACTTGAACTACAAGTTCTTTATGACTTGAACTACAAGTTTTTTACGACGAGCGCAGAGAAACAAATATCTAATCAACATAAATTTTTTAAATGAGGCAAAATTGAGGAATTCAAACACTCGGGACCTCACCAAAAAGAACGGTGAGGGTGTCTAAGATAACATCAATATTTATTTTTTAAATAATAATTTTCATTTTTATCAATTGTTTTGAAAAGGATTAGAACGAGTGTATGTAACCCGTTCTCTTATGAAGAATCCCAAAATTCAAAGCAAAATAGAAGAAAAGAAAAAATAAAAGCCAATAATTTGTTGTAATAAGACCAGAAACAAGAATTATACTCAAAGATTTCTAATTTGATTGGTAGAAAATAGAGAGAAAAAAAAAAAACCTTGCCCAAATTTACTTATTTAATTGGACAAAGTTCGAAGTATTTACAACCACATTTGGGAAGAAAAAAAAAAAAAAAAAAAAAAAAAAGAACAAATTTACAACCACAGAAAACCAAGATTTTTCTTGTGTCAACCAAGATCCCAAGCAACACCAGAAATTTCCAGAGGTCAATGGGAACACTGCATCCTTTGCACACGGTTCTTGAGAATTCCATTGTACAAAGCGATCCGATTCTCAGGAATTTCGTTTCTGCAACTTCTTCTCTCAACTTTGCTCTGCTTTCCCGCCACCATTTCTTCTCCACCGCCAATTGGCTCCTCCTCAACAATTTCAGCAAAATGCACTTTCTTTTTCTTCCTCTCCCTCTTCTTATCACCTGAAAAAAAATAAAACCAAGAACCATAAAATCTTTGCCACAATTCTTCAAGAAAGAAAAAAAAAACCAGAAAAAGAAAAGGGATCACAGAGCCAAGGAAAACAAGAAGAGAAAGAATTAATAGGAGAAACAGAAACCCAAGTACCTGAACACAAGCAAGAACGCAGAGCAGTTTTCTTTGGATTTTGCTGGGAATTGTAGCTATCAGAAAGTTGGGTTGGTAGGAAAGTCTTCTGCCTAGAGAAAGCAAGGAAGACGAGAGTGCTTGAGACGGCCATGGCTGTGGCCAAGACCAGACCTTGAGAGCTCAGCATAGAAGACATGGTGGAACAACAAACACAGAAGAATTAGACAAGGAAAGGGAAGGAAGAGAGGGTTTCGGGCCACCGACCGAAGAGGATTTTTTATGT